CCCAGCCAGCCCCCACCGCTCCCCGCACCCCCCCTCCCCCCCCCCCCCCCCTTCTCCCGCCACCAGACAGTGCAGTACATCCAGCCGCAGCACCACTCGCGGCTGGCGCAGGCGGAGCTCCTGGTCATCGACGAGGCGGCCGCCATCCCCCTGCCGCTGGTCAAGGCCATGCTGGGGCCCTACCTGGTGTTCCTCTGCTCCACGGTCAACGGGTGAGGCCTCGGGACAGTTTGACCGGCGTTTGACCGGCATTGATCGACGGCGTGCGAAGCCCGATTCGTTTTGGCGGGGAGGGACGGGAAAGGCAGGCGAGCGTGTCGTAACTTGTGTGGTAAGGAGCACGGCGCTGGGGTTCAGGTCTCCTGAAAACTGGTGGCAGCTCGTGAATTGCTCTCAGTCGCAGCTTGCCCAACTGCACCTACGAATTCCCGCCCGAAACGCATGAAAACCTCTCGTTTGCGCTAGATACGAGGGCACCGGCCGCAGCTTGAGTTTGAAGCTCATACAGCAGCTGAGGGAGCAGGCCGCAAAGCCGGGGGCGGCGGGCGGCGGCGGCGGCGGCAGCAGCAGCGGCGGCGGGGGCGGCGCGGGGCTGGGGCGCACATTCCGAGAGGTCACCCTGAGCGAGCCTATTCGGTGGGTGGGGGGCAACAAAATGGGAGGGTGTGCCTGGGTTGAACGCGTGCGCCGCGCATGACGGTCTGCTGGGCTCCTGGGAGGCATCTCGCGGCCAGGCCTGCGTTTCTTTTTGTCGTGTTGCTTCTGCTCTTACATTTATACTCATGCCTATGTGTCCTGCCCGTGCCAAACCCCAAACCCCCTCCCCCAGCTACGCCCCGGGTGACCCCGTTGAGTCATGGCTCCACAGCCTGCTGTGCCTGGACGCGTCCACCCACCTGCCACGGCCGCCCCCCAAGCTGCCGCATCCCTCAGAGTGCGACCTTTTCTACGTGGAGCGGGACACCCTGTTCAGCTTCCACAAGTGAGTGGTGACGTCATGGTGACATCATGGTCCAGCCAGGGCCTGACGTGATTGGTTTGCAGGAAAAACGGCAGGATTGCAGGGCTTGACGTCATATGGTTTGCTCGGGCGCGATGCAGGATGCAATGGTACGACGACAGAGCGAAATGAGCCGAACGCCCCGGCCGCCCGCGCCGCCGCCGCCGTCACCTTGCACTGTCAACAACAGGGCCAGCGAGGCGTTCCTGCAGCAGGTGGTGTCGCTGCTGGTGGCGTCGCACTACAAGAACACGCCCAACGACCTGCTGCTGCTGGCGGACGCCCCCGCCCACCAGCTGTACGTGCTGCTCGCGCCGGTGGACGAGACGCAGGTGCGCGCGCTGCGACACGCGGCGACATGGGTGACGCGGGGGACGGAAGACCAGAGGAGGGGCGCAATAACCACATGGGGAGGGTCACTGCGGCTGCGGCCGCGGCAAGCTCGCGTGTTGCATCTAAAGTATCCCTTCAACATCTCGCGAGTCTGCAAGCACCAGTGCTCCAAAATGTTGCTGTTCCCCTGAATAATTTCCAGCCGGCTTCCCAACAACAGCCTAGCTTGTGGCCCAAGCGACCCGCAAACCACCAACCCCGGCCTGCCTACGCGCTCTCCGTCCACCCCCGCCCCGCGCCCCGTGCAGAACGCGCTGCCGGACGTGCTGGCTGTGGCGCAGGTCGCGCTGGAGGGCGCCATCAGCGCCAAGGCCGCCACCACCAGCCTGGCGCGCGGGGAGCTGCCCCAGGGGGACCTCATCCCTTGGATTGTGGGCCAGCAGTACCAGGTGAGAGCAGGACCGCAGCCGCTCACTGCGGGGTGCCTCATCGGGAGTGCTCGGAGGTCCTCTTGTGCACGTGCCGGGCGTTTTGACCCTGGCCCTGTTGCTAAAGTTGTTCACAATCACTGCATTGGTCAGGTCCCCGTCGCGCCACCCAACATCAACCCCTCACGCCACCAGCCCCTTTGCAGAGTCCAACCTCGTTCCTGCCTGTCCTATCCTTGCCTGCCCCGCCCCTGCCGCGCCCCTCCCCCCACAGGATCCCGATTTTCCGCGGCTGTCTGGCGCGCGCGTGGTGCGCATCGCGGTGCACCCGGAGCTCAGCGGCGCCGGCTACGGCAGCCGCTGCGTCGAGCTGCTGCGGCGCTACTTCCAAGGGGAGATCACGGGTGAGCCGCCCCAGGGGATCGCGCCACAGGAGTCAATTAATCGGATGAGTTGGGGCGGCGGCTGAGCCCGGGCCTGGTGGGCGTGGGAGCTGGCGCCGGCCTGACCAGAGGTCACGGCGCCAGCCGGGCGCGGGGGGTCCCTTGACAGGCCTGCATGGCACCGCTGGTCTCGAGCGGGCCTCGGCGGGTGTGCTGTCGGCGCGGATGTGCATGGTGCCGACAGCTCGTACCACCCTCCAGGGTGTGGTGTAGCATCACTGCACGGTTCCGCCCTGCTTGACCCTGGGTGACCCCCTGTCTCCTCCGACCTGTAATGCTTTTCATCTGATCTATTTATCTGTCCGTTCCATCTGGCCAGGCCTGGACGAGGAGGATGAGGAGGCTGCGGAGGACGGGCACGCAAACGGCAGCGGCGGCTCCGCCAGCGAGCGGCGGCGCGCCGCGGCGGCGGCAGACGGCGGCGACACTCTGCTGACTGAGAGCGTCAAGCCGCGCCTGGGGCTGCCGCCGCTGCTGGTCAACCTGGCGGAGAGGTGGGGCGCCGCCAGGCTGCACCGTGTCGAGCGTCTGGTGTCTGGTGTTGTTTCGTCGTGGCTGCGGCGCAGCGCACAACGAGCGGATTCTGCAGGACCACAATGCACTGTTTTCCCCTGTTGTCCAGCATGGAAAGGTCATCGAACGGCCCCCGTTCACCTATCCCGATTGACAACACCGCGCCCCCTCCCTCCGGACGCTACGCGCCAGGCGCCCCGAGCGCCTGCACTACCTGGGGGTCTCCTTCGGCCTGACGCAGCAGCTGTTCAACTTCTGGCACCGCGGCGGCTTCAAGCCGCTGTACCTCCGGCAGAGCGCCAGCGAGACCACCGGGGAGCACACCGCAGTCATGGTAAGCATGTCTGTGCCGCCTGCATCCCTCCGCATCCATTTGATGTATCATGCTGTTGGGCCGCTGCGCACTTCATCGTGGATGGTGGAGACTGCGTCATCGTGTGTGTATTCGACTAGATGGCTTTCGGCTGTCAACGGCTGGTATTGCATGCGCGGGCTCATGTCCACAATCTGACGGGCGGGGCCGCCTGACCCATCCACCTAACTTGCCCTGAGCCGCTGCGCCCCCCCCCTGCAGGTGCGCCCCCTGGAGCATCCCGAGGTGGAGGGCACCGCCTGGCTGGACCCCTTCGTGCAGGACTTCAAGGTGTGTTTTGGCGGCGTGTGATGGCAAATCATCGCAGAGACCGCAGCAACCCCCTAGCTGACCTGCACAAAAAGCACGACCCTCTTGCTTGCATGCACCACGGCAAGAAATGTACCGATGCACTGTGAAGAATCAAATACCTGTCGTCGTTATGACTGGGCTGGTGCGTCCACGGGGGCAGTGTGTGCTGGGAACGTGCGCCTGTCCTCGTCAACCATTAACCTCGGACCCCGCGACGCCCCGGGCCGCGTCGCAGCGGCGGCTGATGATGCTGCTGGGCGGCGCGTTCCGCGACATGTCGCCCGCGCTGGCGCTGTCGCTGCTTGACCCGCGGCTGACGTGGTCGGACGCGGAGGGCAGCGCGGCGGCGGCGGCGGCAGGCGCAGGGCCGGGGTCGGGCGTGGTGGCGGTGCACGGGGACGGCACGCCGTTCACGCCCTACGACCTCAAACGGCTGCAGGTGTGTGCAGGGTACCGGTTGCGGAGAAGGGCGCATTTGCATGCTGATCAACATGTATCGTTGTGGCGTCGGTGCTCGCCCTGCTCTCGGCCCTCTGTTATGTGTGCTGCTGCCAATCTAATGGCCTTGTGGCGACCACCGTTCACGAATGGTGGCGCTCATCACTCGCCACGACCTTTCTGCATCACAAAGAGAGGTGTTCGCCCATACTGCAACCCCCCCCCCCGGGG